TTTTATTTTATTTTTTAGATTAAAAAATGATATATATATCTGCCATTTTATTGTTCATAGTTTTGATCTTCTTTTTCTTAAATAAGACCCTTTAACATTTCATATAATAATGGTTTGGTGACAATGAATTCCTTTAGTTTTTTCTTGTCTGGGAAGCTCTTTATCTGCCCTTTAATTCTAAATGATAGCTTTGCTGAGCAAAGCAATCTTGGCTGTAGTCCCCTGCTTTTCATGACTTTGAATATTTCTTGCTAATCCCTTCTAGCTGCAAAGATTCTTTTGAGAAATCAGCTAGCAGTCTTATGAGAAATCCCCTCTAGGGAACTAACTCCTTTTCTCTTGCTGCTTTTAAGAAATTCTCTCTTTACCTTTAGCATTTTAATTATGATGTGTCTTGGAGTGCATCCATCTTGTTTAGGACTCTGCTTTCTGGACTTGCATGTCTATTTCCTTCACCAAATTAGGGAAGTTGTGTTTCATTATTTTTTTCAAGTAGATTTCCCATCTATCTCTTTTTCAAAGAGATTACTTGCTCTTTCTCTTCTCTTCTCCCTATGATGTGAATGTTGGAAAACTTGAAGTTGTCCCAGAGGCTGCTTATACTATCCTCAGTTTTTTGGATTCTTTTTTCTTTTTGTGGTTCTGCATGGTTGTTTTTTGTGTCCTTATGTTCCAGGTCATTGATTTGATTCTTGGCTCCATCCACTCTACTGCTATTTCCCTATAAATTGTTCTTTATTTCAATTAGTTTCTCCTTTGTTTCTGACTGAATCTTTATTATGCTGCTGAGGTCCTCACTAAGTTCCTTGAGCATCCTCATAATCAGTGCTTTGAACTCTGCATCTGATAGATTGTTTATCTCCATTTTGTTTAGTTCTTTTTCTAGAGTTTTGATCAGTTCTTTCAATTGGGTCATGTTTCTTTGTTTCATTTTGGCAGCTTCCCCATGTTTGTTTCTATGTATTAGGTAGAGCTGCTTCGACTCATGACTTGGTGGTGTGAACTAATGTAGCAGGTGTCCTATAGGGTCCAGTGGCACAGCCTCCTCTATCACTCAAGCTGGTGTGCCCTTTGTGTGGGCTGAGTACTCTCTCCTCTTATAGTTGAGACATGATTGCTGTTGCCAGGTCAATGGGAGGGATTTACCCAGGCCAGTCAGCTGCAAGGACTAGCTATGATCACTAACCACCAACCTCCACTCCCTGTGGAGGGTCAGTTGTGCAGGGACAGGGTGTGGTGCTTTGATGTGGTCCATAGTTGTCCACTGGGTGTGCAGGCTCTGGGGTTTCCTGAGTGGTACAGGCCAAGGTTAGCTCCCACCTGTGTTTTTGTCCTGGTTCATCCTGCCTGGGTTATAAAGCAATCTGAGATGGCTGCTACATGTGCTAGACTTGGAGATCCCCAGGTGAAGCGAAGCTATGAATCTAGGCTGGCTGCTGCTAGTGCCAGGCCTGGGGCTCACTGAAACCAGAGAGGATTTAGGAAGTTGTGAAGCATGAGCCAAGACCAGCATTCATACGGAAAAGCAGCTTGGGTGGGCCTCTAAGTTGAGTGGGACGGAGTCTCTGGGGATCTTCAGGATGGGGCAAACAGTGTTAGCCAGGTTGATGGAGTCCCAGATGTGGCACCATCCTACAGGCTCTGTGGCTCTGTCGAGGGGAGTGTTCAGAAAAGGGACAATGGCCTCTGCTTGCCTTGATGCCAGGTACTTCAGTTTCTCCTTGTATGCTACTGGTACCTTTCAAGGTGCTACCCTGGTGCTGGAGCTCAGAGGGAGTGAGTCTCAGTAAGTCTGTGTGTAGGTTTTTTAAGAGGAATGAACCACTTGGGAGTCTAGAATTTTCTTCCTCTGACTCTGTCCCCTCTGGTTGTTTTAGCCAGAAGTTATCTTCCTGGCACTGGAACCCTGGGCTGGAGCGCCTGGTGTGGGACTGGGACTCCTTGCTGCCTAAGACATACCAATTTTTTATCCACCACAGGTAGGTGAGAGTCCAGTCCATTCCATGTCTGCATCCTTCCTACCAATACATTTATATTTTAAAGCAGACTACTGAATGTAGAGAACTAATGAAGTAGAGAATAAATGGCACACATCTTCACTTGGTTCACATGGCATTTGCTCAGCAAATATTCAATCCATCAAATAGATACAAATTACTGGAACAAATATGTTCCAGGCATCCTGCTACTCAAATGGGGCTAGAAATTTCACACAAGGAGGGGAAGGGGCAGAAGCTTCTTTAACTGAACAGAGGAAGGAACCAATGAACATTGTACTTGTACTGATTTTTCTCAACTCAGTTGTCAGGTGTTTTGTTTGTTTGTTTAAGTTGCTTCTCTTGTTTCATGTAGATTTTCTTTACTATGTTATTTGGTAGTGCAGTTTCTCCAAAGATTCAACTGAAACATGGTCAGTCTACCAGTACCATGTCTGAAACCTAGGTGAAAGGTATACGTGCACTCAACCTCTCTGTGGTTTTCAAACAGTTCAAATAAAAAACTGAACAAAATCACCAAATATAATAAAATGTACTTATCATGACATACCCTGAAGGATTTATAGCATCACTATTTATAAAAAAAGATAATCAGAATCTATACAGATGTCTTAAAGAGGTGAATGACTTAAGAAAACTCAGATAATCAAGAGGATAAAATACTATATAGCAACCAATTCATATCGGCAGACTCTGTCAGTTCATAGAAATATGTCTTAAAATAATGAGAATTAAAGAAAAAGTAGCCTGGAATCCACTATTACAACAGTGAAAATATATGAAATATGCATATACAAAAATTAAAAATGTATTTGGCAAGGTAGGAGTATTACTCTCCCTTCTGAGTAGGTTGCCCATAGTCATAAGAAAAGGAAAATAAATACCATGTGTGATAAATCTTATTTGCTAAGCAAACTTATCTTACACTAGAGCAGCTATTTTTAATCTTTTTTATCTCATGGTACACATTAACTACTAAAATTCTGCAGCACACCAAAAAATGTTTTATTTTTTGCCAATCTGACAAAAAATAGGTATAATTTTGATTCATTCTCACCAATGGCTCTTGTTGTGTTGGTTGTTGTCTTTTTTTTTCCCTTGACAACAAGGGAAAAGAGATCGGTACTCCTGCTCTAGAGGGCAGGTTGGCCCTCGAAAATTGCCTGCCTAGTGAAGAGTGCCTACAAAGCAGCTCTGTCTTTAATGCTCATACTAACATGCAGATACAGGAGAAACTGATGCCCAGCTACTAGTGTGTACTTTAACCTACCACTTGGAACCTAATAGCAGATTTGGGATTTTTCTCAATCTGAGTAATTATTCAGAACATACTCAGTGCACATATTTAACCACTGGTGTCATATCATTTTTACATGATAGCTCCTCAGCACTTTAACCGCAGGAGTGCATACAAAGTAAAAAAACCTCCTGCTCTGTGGTCTGATATCACGCAGGGTAGATCAAAATAGCTGGTTCACATTAAGAGAGTCCCCAGGTTTCTTTCACAAGCACTCTGTGTTTGCAAAAATAAAAAAAAAATTACCAAATCTAGTACTTAATTTTGTACTTGAAAATTAACAACATCCTCCTCATCTTGTGGTTTAAATGATGACTGAACAATAACTCAAGCTAGTTGTGTTCTATATTTCTTTTATTAATATAATTAGTACTCTTAGATCTTTTAAAATTGCTCCTATCTAACCTCAGGTGGAAGTGATTTCAAAAGGTTGAATACATATGCTGATTCAAGATATGATTTCTCATACATGCAATCTCTATGCTTTTAGATTATAGAGCAATGCAGAGTAGGTCTGGCACCATCTCTCTGGCAATGTGGTTTAAAAACAAAGGTGCCATCACACAGATAAGCCCAGGAGTTTTATTTTACATTGCACATAAGTAAATTTATGTAATATCAGTTTTCTAATATAGAAACCTTGACCTTAATTTGAGGGGAAACAGTAAGAATATGGCAATTAAGAGACTCCCAGTTGGCTGAAAAGCTCAGAGCTAAAATCCAGTTAGAGCTTGAAGACAAAAAATTGAGATCCAAACTATATAAACTTGACAAGACTTTGATTTAAGCACGTATTTCAGGTAATCTCTTTGCAGGTACCAATGCAATTAAAGAGGATTAAGAAGTAATATGTGATCAAAATTATTTGCCTTGCCCCAATGTCCAAGCCTTGAAGTAGTGACCTGAGTGCAAAACCTGGTGATAAAACTTAACATTGGGGTGATCTTGGGCAAAATACTTAATATCTTTATGATTCAACACCCCCATCTATAAAAATGGTAACTATTTAATATAAAGTTACATATTTATACTTAATATCTAGTTTCTAAATTAAATCAATAAAACAATTAAATGATAAATGTGAAAATGCTAGAAGCAGTAGCAATCACTCTTAATGTGTATTTATTATCCAGCAATTGTCTTATTCAAATGGGTGATTTTAAAAACAGCCTTTAACAGCATCAGAGCCAATATATTTTTTGCAAAACTTGAAGCATTTCGGGTAATTATACATGACAAGAAAATCTCATCAATAGAATTGCACTATTTTAGTTCAAAAGAGACCTTTAGACGAGATACTAACAGTCTGAATCATATTTAAAGAAGTCAACAAAAAGGGAAACCTGAGATGGACAGACGGACTGACTTTCCTATCAGAAGCTTGTCTAGAAAAAAGAACGAGAATACACATTCCAGGCAACTGATGTTCGCGAGATCCAAAAGACAGAACACCATTCATTAACTCCTAGGACTCAGTGACATGGAATGACAGCAGAAGCATTTAGTAAAACTCAGGTCATCCTGTTACTACTCCCCTGACAAAATAAAGCAACACAACACACAAAAGCAGAAAACCACCAACAAGCAAGGCATTGGTGTGCCCACTTGGAGCTCCTCTGAGTAGCTTCATAGAGAGGGGACATGAAGCTAAGGTATATTTAATGAATGAAAGCGAGGTTTGGAAAAGTGCACGAGACGGACCCTACCTTTCACAGATTTCCCAATACTGTGTAAGTGAGTGATAGAAGTGTAGTTTTGGGCAACATTCTTCAAAAACTCTTCCATCTCTTCCTGGTGGTGGTAGCTGAAATCCAGCGCAGCTACCAAAGGCAGCAGCAGCCCTAGCCAGAGGCAGGCGAAGTCCATGTTCTGGAGGTGAATAAAAATGGTAACAAAGCTGAGACCAGACAAGGAACTGGGGGGACGCAAGGTGCGCGGTTGGAGGGGGGACTGATATGGGCGTTACTAGATCCGGCACTGACACTCTAGTGTCAGATCTCCTAACACTGTCGTTTCCTGCTTCCTAAGGAGGTAAAAGTTGGAAGCAACACCTTCGGGAGTTAGTGCGAACGGAACACGGGCAGCCCCGGGTGCCATCCATCTCGCCCCCTCCCGTTCCTTCCCTCCCCGGGTCTCGGCTGCTGTTCGCCGCCCGGCAGCTGCGGCAGCTGCACCCGGCCGCGCGCGCCCTCAGCCTCACCCCGGCACGGGCGCGCACCTTCACCCGCCCGCGGCCGCGGGGCCGGGCCACTCATTATAGCCGGGCAAGGGGGCGGGCGCTCCCACGAGTCCTGACTGACGTCTCTCTGGCCCATTCAGACGCCGCGGGGTTCCTTCTAGGCGGGGCCGAGGCGCGCGGGGCGCGGGCTCTTCTGTCTTCATCTCACCTGGGAGACCCGACGCTCGCGCCCCGCTAGGATGCAGGGGCGCGCGGGGCTGTGCGGACCCGCAGCAGCTTTAGTCTTTGCTGGGCTGGAAGTGTGTCCTCCGCTCCTCCACAACTCCGGCCGCCGATGGGATCGGGACGCTCTGCCGAGGGTTTCCAGCCGCTGCAAATTTGGAGATGAGGAAAGTTCGGCCGGCTTCCCACGCTGGCCGTTGCGGGCCGGCGCCCCTGCGGCTCACCTGGCGTCCCAGGATGCGCCCCGCGAGCTCGGGGTGCCGAGGGTCTGGCGCGGGCTCTTAAGGGTCTCCGCAGTGTCTGCGCCGGAGTCGCTGGGACCGCGCCCCCAGCCGCGCCAGGCTCCTCAGCCCTGTTCCGCAGTCGCGTGGGATTTAAGAAAGAAGAATGCATGTGTGTAAAAGTTCTAAAGGCCGTCAAGTGGGGAGTCCAGGACAATTTCCGACAAATATATGTGGTGTAGGAGATTTGAGTAAATCAGAGTTACGTTTAAAACTGCAGACCACACATTAGGAAGCAGAGTCACTATTTGTAAATTCAGTGCGCCCTCCACCAACACTTCCTAAGTCAATTTCTCCGTTCTCCCTTCCTAAAATGCTTCCTTCTGAACGGACTGGGTGGTCTGTGTTTACACTGCGGGGAACAAGGGCTTCACCAAAACCTGAGGCAGTTTGTGATGCCAGCAGAGACCTCACACGCCTGTCACGCATTACCTGTCAGGGTAAGGAGGGACTCCTGCCAAGGCCCTGTGACTGTAAAAAGTTTGAACATCGCTGACTTGCGGTAACATTCCTCTTCAACGGGTTAAAAATTGTGGTGCCAGGGCCCCACTCCAAATGAATTGAACTAGGTTTCTCTCACTGAAGCCCAGGAAACATTTTTTCAACGTGCCCTGAGTGAGTTGAACGTGCCTTCAAGGGTTTGCTGGCCGTTTTTGTTTCACATGGACACTGTTGCGGAACTGAGCTCTGAGTCCCGAGGCTGCCTATGATTCCCAGGCAGCAAAACGGAGAATGTTAGGAACTAAGACCGTAGCGTCGCATGATCCGGTTCATTGTGTGAGGTGTTTCTTACAGAAATAGTCTAGTTTAATTGGAAAGAATTTTCTAATAGTTGTAAAATTTTAATATGATATTGCTGGATGTTTTAAATCCTCACCTCACTGATTTTGTTTTATTTTAAGTATATTTTGTTGATTATGCTATTACAGTTGTCCCATTTTCCCCCTTTATCCCCCTCTGCCCTGCACCCCCCGTTCACCAGCATCCCCCCACCTTAGTTCATGTCCATGGGTTGTACAGATAAGTTTTTTGGCTTCACATTTCCTATACTAATCTTAACCTGTTCCTGTCTATTTTGTGCCTACCAATTATGCTTCTTATTCCCTGTACTTTCCCCCCCATTCTCCCCCCTTCCCCATCCCACTGATAACCCTCCATATGATCTCCATTTTGTTTACTGATTTTAGAGAGAAGGAAACATTAATGTGAGACAGAAACATTGATTGATTCCATATCTCCCATATGTGCCTTGACTGACAGGGGAGTAAACCTGAAACCTAGGTATGTGTCCTGACCAGGAATCGAACCTGCAACCTTGTGGTGTGAGGGAGGATGCTCCAACCAGCTGAGCCACCAGGTCAGCGTGATATTGTTGGATTTTTGAGTGGAATTTTTTAAAGGTATGCAATAGTTACTATACAAATGTGACTTAAAGATGGCTCCCTAAGAGGTCGTCCTTACATCGTGTTCACTGAGTCCTGAAAGGCGGGGGTATGGGGCTTGAGGAGATTAGGTAGATTTAGGCAAAGTTGCAGTAAAGAGCGGGAAGGGGAACTGACTAGGAAAAAAGTGAAGGATTGCTTATTTGACTTTAGAAATCAAACACTTGTTATAAAAGCAGTGGCAGTTACATGGTTTCCTTTAGTGGTTCTGTGGCTGAATACTGGAGGTTTTATCAGTGCAGGGGTGGAGACTGCCAGGGTTGTTGTTCCAGAAAGGCAAAAGGGGCAAGGTGTGGTTCAAATTACTGCCCTTGGAGTTCACACTAGACTGGAAGGGAAGGAAATTCAGGAGAGAGTCAATCAGAGGTGGCGGTGGGGAGTACAGAAGATTGGAGGCTGAAGAGCTAGAACCTGAAAAAGTGTGGTCCAGGGTCAGCATCAGCATCACTTGGGAGCTTGTTGGAAATGCAGACTCTTTGTCTTACTTCTGTGAAATGGGGATAATCATTGATGATTTGGGGTTTATGGTTATAGAGATCTTATAGGGTTACATACGATATTTTTTTCCTTTTCTAATTAAGTTGAGAACGTTCACCTTTTCACTTAAAGGAAGCACTTACAAGCTTCCCTGTGGCGTATCCGTATTGACAGCATCAAGGCTTTTGTGCTTTGGGGCCATTATTATTAAGTGAAATAAGGATTACTTGAACACAAGCACTGAGATACCAAAACAGTTGATCTGATAAGCGAGGATGCTACTGAATGACTAATGGACACAGTGGACAAAGGGATTATTCACATCCCGTGGGACAGAGCAGGACAGTGCTAGGCTACTCAGAATGGCATGCGATTTAAAACTTATGAATTGTTTATTTCAGGAATTTCCCTTATAATATTTTCAGACCATGGTTGATTACAAGTAAGTGACACTGCTGAAAGTGAAACTATCGATAAGGGGGAATGCTGTAGTTGATAACTTATGAATTCATTGAATCATTTTCTTTTTAATGATCCTTTTGAAACAGCCTAAACCATGTCCATTCAATATTACTTCCACAAGATAAAATTATAAATATACTGAGTACCTAAAACAAATTCTTTTGTCTCCCCATGATTGATTGATTTAGTCAGTCTATCAATATTTATTAAACATCCAAAAATACGCCGAGCACCCCAGGGTGGAAAGGAGAAACAGTCTTTATTTTAATAGAGTTCTCATGCTTCGGGGGAAGACTCAGAGATGAACAACCATTCAACCACCATTTTGATGTGTGCTACCAAAAGGAAATTGCAGGATATTATGGGGCAGAGGAACTGAGGATGCTAACTGGGCTGGGGTGCGCCTGAGTGGAGGTCTGAGAAGGCTTCTTGAAGATGTGTCTGTTTAAGGTAAAACCTGAAGGAGGAAGACATGGAAGGCCCAGGCAGAGAGAACAGGATGCTTTATTTTTCATTCTTCACACACATCAGAAACAATATTGAGATAATAAGTACTTTCATCTTTTTAGTAGATGTGTGCTGTCATGCATTCTGCTCATTTCTAGCATCCCTATATTTCCAAATAACTCTCCCAGCTGTTCCCAATCTGAAGATGCTCTGGACAACTGAGTTCTATGGGGTGGGGGTGGTTCTTCCACCACCAACAAGCAGTGCCAGGGTACCAGTCTGTTCTGGAGTGGTCCAGCTGGTCCCCACAGGCTCCAGTTGTCCTTGCTCTGTCCATCTTCCCTGCCCCCCAAATACCTGCCCTGCAGATTGCAGCCCAGCACCAGATGCAGAATCAATGGCCTTACACAGACCATTTAACTAGCTCCAAAAATTGCTGGTTAAAGTTTCAATTGTTGAAAAAAATCCCTTATCTGTATCATTCCTAGTGGTTCTGCTTCAGTGATTGAACTTCAACTGGCACAGGGAATTAGAGACTAAAGGCAGTTTTAGGGTCGTGTTCTAGCAAGCAAATACATTTTTTCATAGGAAGAGGAAAAGGATGAAGGGCAGAAGCAAAGGAGTCAGACACCATGAGTTATTTAGTGTGCCAACAAAGGCCACAGGCAGACCATGTGAGGACAGAGGAGACACTGGACTCCCATGAGTGTCTATTTGCCAAACTGGACCTTTGCCTTGTGTCCCTGGACCTGTGCACCCCCCCCATTGCTCCAGCATGGGGGCTGTTATTTGACAGGCTGGAAGACCTTCATACCCAAGTGATAAAGAAGGTATATCTTCTTGAAATACCAGTCTTACTTACAGATTTTAGGGGGAGGGTGGAGTCTATCTTATTTTTAAAATGTATCCAACAGATATATTATGGAACAGCATGCAAATATCACTTCCTTTTTTCTTTAGGATAAAATATGAGCCTTCAATGAATGTCACAACTGAGGAGAGCTATTTACTGCTTTTTCCTCAGACCAAGGTTAGTGAGTCCAAGGTCCCTCTTTTCTGACATTATTGGATAAAGAAAATACTTGACAGGAAACTCCCACAGCCCAGTGAGAGTCAGGCATGAGCTTGCTTTTCCCTGAAGGCTGGCCCTTGCCAGCTCCCACCTCCAGGACTTACTACACAATGTGTAGGCCCAGTGCAAAGTGAAGATGTGAGGCTCTGTGTTCAAACATTATTGGGAATCTCAAGACAGTGAGATCAAACCTAGGTGCAGTCCCCGCACCCTGAAGTTGGCTCTGCCCACTTCTCTCCCATATTTCAAACACACATCTGGGATATTTCTGAGGCAGAGCACCAGAGGGGAGAGAGAGACTTTCCCGCAGTTTGTCCTATTTATAATCTTTTCACACTTCCCAGAGTCTTCACCTTCTCCAAATGGTTGGGAAGAGGACAGACAGGAGGGGGTTCTATCTTGTCAATCAGCCCTTCAGGTGACCTTGGTGTTGGGCTGTTTCTAGTGAAAGTAATCAGGAAGGAAAACCATGTGCTTCTCTGTGTACACCTGCTCTGTGCTTGCGGTGGGTCAGAAGAACGTGAGGCGTGAGCTCTGCTGCCTGTATTATACCCTGGTCTATTTGCATGATGTTAGCCAAGGTTGGATTGCTGATTTTCTTCATCTAAAATTTACAGGCTGTCAAGTGGGGAGTCTAGGAC